AATACATGTATTATATCTCTCGTGCTTATGTAAAACTCCTTGAAACCACTAAATAAATTAGAAATTTATTTTTTAGCAATAGCTTGGTAGATTTGTCTCAAATTCTACTTATGATTTAATTTAGATACCGCGATTTAGCTAACTGTATAAATATAGTCAAATAACATCAAATCTAACATTAGTAACAGGCGAAGAATTCCTGGATTTTGCAATTTGGATTCTTTATGATTGTTCGTGCATATCTAATGAGGTGTTTGTTTTCTGTCTAAACTTTAACTTTGTACTTAATTCTATTACTTTGTACATACGGCTATTTGAAATTTAATATATCAATCAAAATTGATTATATATACATGACTGTATAAAGTATGATATATAGCAACAACCCTTTATAGATTGAAGGCGTGTGAAAAATAATATGAACATGTAGAAAACTTTGCCAGATATGTTGTATATACATGTTCATGAGTGTCAGTGTATTGTTGTTGTCATATTCTATTAGTGTATATTCTATGAATACTTTTATGCAATACCAATTATATAAATGCTGATATATAATTGATTTAATCTCTTTCATTATATTTTGTTCGAGGAGATAAAAATGGCAATTTTACATGATCAACAATTCAATAGCATGCTCTATTGTCGCGACTTGTATGCTGAAAATAGCATGTGGAGAAAAAATTGCCAACATCGTAAACTTTAAAGTGGGAGCAATGCTGATTTAGTTGGGGTTTTTTCTCTGTGACAATATAAGTTAGACATCTTTGTTGTAAAATACCTTTAATGTAGGATTCATTACAGGTTGTACACAGGATTTGTTTTATATAGTTTTTATAAAAGATTTACTAAATTTATTTTATTTTATTTTTGAAACTGTAAAGCCTCTACAAATCAAACGTAGACAATATGTTGCTACCAGGAAGAAAGTTTGTCTTTTTTAAAACCTAGTAATCCAAGTTTATATATATCCTTTTTCAACGCAGTAGTTTATATTCATGTGTAAATTAAACATTAAAGACATATTTAATCTTGTGTTTTAACAATGTCAGTGAGTCATTCAATACATTCCTATCTTTATTGATAGAGGAGTTGAAGATCATAGAGGGGTGTATGAATTGTGAGAAGTGTTTATCCTACAATGTCGTTGACACAGTTTTTTTCCCTGTAGTGAACTAATTGTGCATAAAGGGCTTAAATGGCTGTATCATTCAAGCACAATGCTGAGTTTTCTCCCGCATGTAAATAATTCCTGTTCACAAGCAAATTATTAAATTAATCCCAAAATGACATTGTGAGTCTCAAGTGGACATTAAACCCTATTTCTCACTCTATTTTATACTGTTTGTTATTTTTATTATTATTTTGTCCAAGTACAGTCAAGTTTGCTTTTTATTATGCAGTGCAAAAATGCAGCTGTTTTATCAAATTCTGAACATAACTAGTGAAAATGAAAAATTGTAATTTTGTCCTTCCAATACTAACTACATGTAGGTCATTTTGGGACTAACATGTTATACCTTTATTTCAATAATTCACATTTGCACATGGATCTTTAGCAGTTCGAGACTACCAAACATTAGTACGACTGAAGCTTGAGCATAGTTCAACAATTTGGAACCCGCAGCAAAAGACACAATTAAGCGAAACAAATAGAACAGATACAACTTAATGCAGCTAGATTCGTACTTAGCAAGCCATATAACTATCAGATCCCTGGTAGTGTTAGACTTATGATACAGTAGTTGAACTGGCCATTCCTGGAACAACACAGAAAATATTCAGATTTAATACTTATGTACAAAGTTGTTCATAGGTTAGTAGCAGTACCAATCAGCCTGGTAGCAGTACCAATGTCTTTACTGGCAGATCCATCAGAAAGTTTATACATGTACCATACCACTATAAAATTAACGTGTATCAACACTCATTGAATCATTCTTCCCACGCATAGTCAATTCTTGGAATCATCTATCGGACCAAGTTCTCCGGCTGGATTCACTAGACATCTTTAAGGAAGCTTTACAGCTGGCTGTGGATGGTGTAACCTGAGACATTAAATGTATAGCGTACATACAAGTTGGATGTTTATGAGGAACATCCGACCTCGCACATTTACAAGTTCACCCAGCATCTTCACACTATGTCCAACAGCAGATTTTGTGGAGTCATTCATTGAAGTTGAAGAGCCTGAGAGGAAACAGAAAAACGCCATAAGTTTAATCAGGCAATATGACATGCATTACATTGTTGGTCTTATATCCTTATGGGCTGGGTGGTTGATCCCTGCATTGGCTGAGAAAGTTCATTCAGATTTTCCAGCGTGGGTCCCCCTTGTCAGTGATGCAGGACGGAAGGCCTGACAAAGACAGCTGTCTAGTCGTTCGGATGGGACGAAAAAATGAGATCCCTGTATCATAAGGTCTGTCATTTAGTCAACTGGCATGGTTTCGATTCCCCGATTGTACGTGACAATGAGTAGGGTCACCTGTTCCAACCTTGTGGGTTTTTCGGCCGATTCCTCTGGTTTTCTCCCAGTGCTAAAGATCCCTACACCCAAGCGAATTATTGAAATAAAATTGAACCATGAGTTAGTCCCGAAATGACCTAGTTTGTATCAAGTGGACCTTAAACTCCCTCTCTCTCTCTCTCTCTTATGATCTACAGTCCAAAAAAGATAGACAGTTGAAAATATATTAAGTTAGCTTTTCGTCAAACATGATGCAGTTTTCACCCAATACAGATGGCCGATTGTATCATGTCTGTATGCAAACTTCACCCACAGACAAATTTTGTTTGCTTCTTAGTTGACCTTTCACATATTGTATTGACCAAATTGTTTCAATGTTGACCAATGTTATTGACCGCTTGCCGAAAGATTTTAGACTCAAATATTCCACACATTGGTACAGATATTTTAGCACGGGCAACTGTTGAAACTATCTACCCGGTTAAACTGTGTTTAAAAAGTGAAATTTTTAAGTTGGGCGGTGAACTTTTGGTGGTAGCAATGTTTGATTGTTTAGTGGTAGAGATTTGAAATGACTTAGATTGTCATAGTTTAGTAATAATCAACAACCATTCCTAGTTATAGCTTTATTTAGCATCTTAAACAACAACATGTTACATATTTTAACAATTTTGTTGTTGTTGACGTTATTATCATTTGTCTTATTATAAACTCTTCAAAAAAGTAGTAGATATTGAAATGCAAATACCTATGCAGGTTGTGATACGATAAATAGTCATGGACACTTGACATGCTTTGAGAGTATGTTCACAGATGAAGAACTTATTGCCCCAACAGAACCACTGAGCTGCATGTGCGACATGCAACAGCACCATACACCTGGGAGGGTTCATTGTCAAATTTGACACTTCAAGGAAGGGTTGATGAAAACTACCGCTTGCTGGTTTATCCTATCCATGGTTGCTTTCCTATCAGTTCTTGCATAAGATTTAATTTTTAGCGTATCTTTGCTTTAGTGTGTTACGTGTAATTTGATCGGAAGACGTGTACATCAACGTCAACCGACAACACTGCAAGAATTGTTCGTGGTACTGCAAGAGGAGTGGGTCAGATTGCCCCAAATCGTGATTGAACGGTTGATTAGGAGCATGCCACGACGAATTGCAGAATGTCTGATGATTGGTGGAGCAATTACTCATTAAGACAAAAATCAAAAACGTCCATTTTCACTTTAGATGGTGTATCTCTTTGCGAGGTTGGACATACATCCCTACTCCTTGTCAGTACAAGACGGGAAATGAAATCACGCATTTGACTCAAAGACAGACATTTGAGTTTAAGACGCACACATTAAACCATTCGGCCTGCTTCGCCATACCTCCCCCATTATGATGAAATCGACTTAAATCGCACTGAATAGTGTATGCATAAATTCTAAAACGGCACTGTTCACTCTAAGTTATGCATAAGCAGACGCACATATAATGAGCCATATAAAATAATAGTATGGTTTGCATAAAACATGTAGCCTACATATGGTTTAACAGGTCTGAATGACCTGTTTTTATTTGCCAATATATTTTTATTAGGTGGCATGAGAAATATGCTGTGTTACTAGTGCCAAAATTATCTTACAACAATTTCAGATTTAAATTTGTAAACATACCTTGCGCACATACTGTTGCCACAGGAATAAAATTTGCATACCATAGGGTATTTGTACACACTGACTACAAAAAACTAGAGGCAATATTGGCTGGGGACTTACCATAATAGTTTTTTGGAGGTCAAATGATAAATGATAATAGTTTGGGGGGGGGGGGGGGTGTCAAATGATAACATAGAAACAACAGAATTATGTACAGAAGATTGTTTTTAAATTAATTTTTCAATAAGTCCATATATAATTAATTTTATATGACCTAGACCTAAAGGATATTGGGGGGCATGGCTCTCTGCTTTCCCAACTAAATAGTCTCCTTAGCACTTTCAGAATAAATGACCTTAATGCTTTTAGCTTGTATTTAATATATTGAAGGCAGTGGGTCAATATTAAAGTCCCAATGCATCATTTTAAGCAATACGAATCACTCCCAAACTCCAATAGTGTGAAAGTTGAATCACTTTAGAACCATATCAATCCAATAATGGTTCAATTCCGTTTAGTATTTACAAAGATATGACGAATTGAAATTTCATCTATCTATTTACAAAGATATGACGAATTGAAATTTCATCGATCTATTCATTAAACCTGCCGTGATTTTGTTGTCCTTGAATATTTAATGGTAGGCCTCTAGCGTTGATATTTTGAATTCTTTTTCTTAATTAAATGTTAGATTATCAATCTGAGTACATTATATGGATTAAGCCGGGATGAATAAGTCATTGGCAGCCTTTATAAAATTGCTATAGCACATGATCCTGAGAAATGAATTAAGGACATGAATATGATTAGCCAAAAACAAAACAAATTTGAACTATTTTATGTATTCTGTATTTTAAATAAAAAACTTTGATTTAATTTCAGCATTTGTTGGTCAATCAACTGGTAAGAAATCGTCAAGTGTATCAAATAAAGTTGGAAGTGGAAAACAGACACTGCGGTTGCGATCTACTGGACCAGCTACAGTTGAACAGGTATTTATAAGATCTTTGTGATGCTGGACTCTTTATCATAAGACATGGTTCAGGTGTGGTTCCCTCTTGTCAGTTAAAAAACCCTTGACAGTTGTTATTCGATATAAGAGTAGGCCGTAGTGACGCTCTCTAAACAAAGTTTCATTCATAGCATACACCATATGCCTGTCTTGATTAACCAGTTAGTGCAGAACAGTAGGACTTAAACCCAATTTCATTTCATTACAGAATAACACATCCACACATCATTTATTGTGAATAAAAACATGGGGATGCTCTCCATCCTTTTTATCACTAGCAGTATATAGCACCTGTCTCTGCCATCTTCATTTGCCCAATTAGCCCAGGAAAAAAAGGACATTAAATCTCATTTTGATTTGCTTTATTAACTGTTGCAAAAGAAGATTTATGATATAGGTGCAAATTACCAAGGATTCAGGGGCCTGTTTCACGAAATTTTAACTAAGATAAAATCCAAATTTTAGTTATTTGATTGGATAATATTAGATTGCATTTAGTGCTTAACCAATCAAAATTGAAGTATCTACTAAAATTTGGATTTTATCTTTAGTTAAGATTTCGAGAAACAGGGCCCAGATTTAGAGACTGTTTGTCAGCATAAATTTTCGGCAATAGTAGATAGATTATCATGAATTTGAAGGCTGTGAGAGAATGCTAGTTTGGTACTGTTGTGACATTTTTTTCAACACAAATGATAACTTTACATTTCAGTTCATCTAGATTTTTTATCAATGTTTGATTAAAGTTTTAGCATAGCAAATAAATTGTCGAGAGGAATTCGAATAAAACAAATATCAGTTCATGATTTTTACCATATACCAGTATTTGATAAATCCTTCCATGTCAGATTTTGGGGTAAAAACTTGCAGTTAATTGATTAAATTATTGGGGAATTTAAAACAATATTTTGTCTGTTCTTTACAAATAAAAACTATTTAATTTTTTTATACAATCGATGTAAATGTAAGGATTATAAAATTAGTTTGGCAAAAAGTTTTGTGTGACAAATTTAGAAAAGAGGTCATCATTTGTGAAGTTATTGTTTACTACTAGTATTGCCTACTGTTGGAGTCTTCTGACTGCATCCTATATAGGGGAGCCACGATGGCTAAGTGGGTAAAATGCTAGCTCTTTAGCCTGGAGGTCGCGGGTTCACTCCCAGTGTTGGCCGAGAAAGTTCATCAGGATTTTAAGTCGTTGTTTCCTCTTGACAGTGCTGCAGGATGGAGAACCTGACAAGGACAGTGGTCTAGTTGTTCGGATGGGATGAAAAACAGAGGCGTGCACATAAAAGATCTTTGTCAGTTGGAATTCGATATATACTCTTCAAAAAAAGTAGGGGATATTGAAATGCAAATACCTATGCAGGTTGTGATATGATAAATAGTCATGGACACTTGACATGCTTTGAGAGTATGTTCACACATGAAGGACTTACCGCCCCAACAGAACCACTGAGCTGCACATGCGACATGCAATAGCGCCATACACGTGGGAGGGGTTCATTGTCAAATTTGACACTTCAAGGAAGGGTTGATGAAAACTGCTGCATGCTGGTTTTATCCTATCCTTGTTTGCTTTCTTATCGGTTCTTGCATAAGATTTACTGTTTAGCATATCTTTGCTTTAGTGTGTTACGTTTAATTTGATCGGGAGATGTGTTCGTCAACGTCAACCGACAACACTGCAAGAATTGGCCGTGGCACTGCGAGAGGGGTGGGTCAGGTTGACCCAAATTGTGATTGGATTGTTGATGAGGAGCATGCCACGATAAATTACTGAATGTCTGAGGATTGGTGGAGCAATTACTCATTATTAAGACAAAAATCAAAAACATCTATTTTCACTTTTGACGGTGTATCCCTTTGCGAGTGAAATGGGTCCGTAGGATAAGCCGCCCATATGAACTGTTTATGTTCATGTGTAGGCAATTGGCCTGTTATTAACATACATTGGTTACCACTAATAAAAACAGCAGTGCATTTCCGCAGTTTTGTATTGTTTCTGAATATCCCCTACTTTTTTTGAAGAGTATATAAGAGTAGACTGCGCTATCATTTTATACAGACACCTGCCTTACAATGTGTCTGTGCTAGTGTATATAATTTATTAATGTTGTTTTACAGGACGATGATGCAGCAAATATAGCAACTGATAAAATCAATAATTTATTAGAATCCTACATGGGAATAAATGATACAGAACTAGGTAAGTATTAAATATTTTAATCAGAATTAAAAAAACACAAAACAGGAAGAGGGAGGTAATGAACATATCTTGCAGCTGTTTAGCAAATATTTATTAGCTATGTGAAATTTTAGTATGACGGCCCAGGAAGGACATGGCAACTAGTTGATCGTGTTGACAAAAAACTGTGGGCCACACCACCAGTGTACACATAAAAGACCCCTTGACTGTTGGAATTTGATGAAATGTAGGCGGAAATTAGTGCTGGGTATTGCCACTGCAGGCACGATACGATACTTATTGCGATTCAGGTGCCACAATACGATTCATATCACGATTCACAACCAGGTCAATATATACCAAAAAAAACCCCAGGATAAATGAATAATTGATATTTTTAGTCCTGCCGATGTCGAAGTAATAAAACTGTTTTATAACACGCTATTGGTTTGGATCAAAATATGGACCAAAACAATTTAAAGAGTGTGTGACGTGGATAATTAAGAGTGACAGGTTACTTATTGAAACAACAAAAAAGAATAAAAAGAAAATCGCCAACGTTGAACCCTGTGTCATTTACATGTGTTACCTACGTGTAGATCTGTTACCACATTTTATCATCTCTCTTGCTGATGTCTTTACCCACAGTCTCAGGATAAGACAGTTTATAACTGTATTCTAGTCCACTGGGCTGTAATTGGGTATGGATATGATGTCTGTAAGGTAAAATAAATGTAGCATTAAAATTCAGTATCAGAGGACTAGGGTATTCAAAGTGGTTGAAATTACACTAAAATAAATGACCATACTTAAAATGTAACTATGGGAAATAAATATCGTGATTTGAATTCGAAAATAACCAGAATACTGTGTTGATAAGAATTTGGGGTTTGGTAGTGGTTTCCTTCCCACACTTGTATGTGGCTAGGATTGCTGTTTCCTGCCTTTGGGGGTTTTCTTCAGGTTCTCTAGAGTCTCGGCAATGGACAAACAATCAAATGTTATCCCCCAAATAAAAATAATCAGCTCCCCCTGACCGCTTTCCCTCTTGAATCAGAATTGAGATTATTTTAGCTTTCGTAGGGGTAATTATGAATGTTACCTTTCATAGGGGTAATTGTGTATGTTACCTTTCATAGGGGTAATTATGTATGTTATTTTACCATTCAAAGGGTAATTATATGTATGTTATTTTCAGCACAAAGTATCTGGGAAATTGGTGATAAATGTGACAACCCTCACGATTTTGCTTGTGCCGTTGATGAATCTGATATGAAAGATTTCGGTTTCACAGATACATTCATCTTTGATTTATGGGGAGCTATCACAGATGCTAAGAGTGGACGTCTCAAGAAAACGCAAGAATTTAACGAACAGTTTTAGAATAATTTAATTAATTGTAGAATATCTATATATGGACTTATTTTATGTAATATATGGCCTCCAAATTTGTGTCGTGAAATTTGATTTGATTATTAAATAATATGAATATAATGCGTTAATGCTCAACAAAGGGCCAATAATTTCCAAATATGATTTCATTTTCTGCATTTTCCTTCTCTTTTTTTTGTAATATTAATATTGTTAAAGTTGAATATTATTATGCGATTATACTAAAGTCACATGCTAAGACCAGTTGTCGATTTTGTTCTCATCAACATCTGAATATTTGATAATGGTGGCCATGTTGTAATTAGTAATTATAATTATTTATAATTGTATCATTATTTTAGTAATTTTTATGGTTTGTGTGTCAAATAATTTTTGTCTTTGTTTTGTTTTGTGTGTTTTTCATAACTGAGGTAATTTTTTTTTTTCTCTAATAAGAAAGTCTTTTTTTTTAAATACTTTTTTTTAATTTATACACATTTTGTAATTACTTCAACTGAAATTGGAATTCAACAATTTCGTTTTTATATATATTTCATTAAGTGTAGCATTTCATAAAGTAGACATTAAATATGTGATATTTACATATATAAAAAACACATTAGTTTGTCATTGACAATTCACAATTTAGTTTCTTTACATGATAATTCTTGAACTTTAAAGGAACTAAATCGCTAATATTTGGGACCAAGAAATAATAATGTAATCTGATTGTATATAAACTGATTTACATTCAATTGTTTCCGTTTTGACTCTAATTTCAAATCAATTATGTCCAGCAAAATATGGCATGAGTCTCGGCCAAATGCCCATTTCTAGCGTCTGGTTATTCCAGTCTATTGCACATGCTCTCTAGATAAGATATGGTGTCACCGTTTGACTTGAGTTGTTGAATATGTCTAGCCTCGTTCTTTCTGGTGACTTGTTACAAATGACGCGGAAACGCATTATGGTACACGATTCGTGTACCAATGGTAAAATGTTTATTTTGTCTTAAATATTGGATATCAGAAGCCTACCTTTTCCCGGTAAGATTACAACACCAATGTTGATTTGAATTGACAAATAATTTGTGTTTTCAACGTGTAAGACTGGATGATATTGAGTTAGAGACTTAGCTACTTTAAGATTGTTGTTGATTTGATAATTCAAGAAAAGTTCCTTTATAAAGTTTAAAAGTTTGATTTGTCTTTGACAGGCCAGGTTGGTTTTCTCCAACTTGAATTACCTATTTAATAACTTTGTTGTTGTTTCATCATTAAAAAAAATGTTGCTTTATTGTAGTTGTTGAAACATGTTTTACTGCAGTTGTTTTCCAGAAGTTGTTAAAAAATGTTAAGCAGTTGTTTAAAATATATAATGATTTAAGTTGTTTAAAATTCTGATTTATTACATTTATTAAAACCTAGATGTATTGCAGTTGTTAAAATTTTAGCCGTACTGCAGGTATTTATAAAATGTTTGATTTCTGTTATTAAGGTATCTGTTGTATGCTCTCTATATATTGACGAAAGATCAGTGATTCTGTGATTATATATTTAAAATATTTTTTTTTTACCATTAGACAAATATATACAGATATCTGATGGACGACATATCACTTTTACAATTTGTGATAAAAACATTCCAATGAATGCTTATTTATCTGTTTTTAAGATATATTCCTTTAATTACAACTGGTAAAATATAATTTGATCTCTGATCTATGGTTGTAAAATCAGGGTTTTAGACTGTATAGGAATATATCTTTAATTTAAATAAATAATAATTAATGAAAACCATTCCAATATATTCCACAGTTATTATATACAAGTGTATATACTGTTATTTGTTAATATATTATTAATGTAGTATATATTTTAACATTGTCTCATCTAATGACTTGTTAGGATAATACAACATAAATCCTGACACCTTGACTGAATTTGCTGATTTTATTGTACCTTGAATACAACAAAAAAATTTGAACTCATGAAATCCTCAAAATTGTATCAGTTTTTCTAGAGGGATTAAGCATGAGACCTTTTGCTATTTATTGCTAAATATACCAATAAAAAATAATAAAACTAAGCTTGTTTTTGACCTGTTTAGTTGATTAAATGAAACATTCACAACAATCATTACAAATTGAAGTATGTGAACAACTCTTTTGATGTTCCATTGTGCCCAGTACATATTCAAACTTACATTGTTGAGTATGGGACGTATATCCTGACACTGTAACATAGTGAAAATGGGTTAATTAATATATTTATCTGCCATGATCTTCACAGAAAATCAAAATACAAGTCTGTCTGGTGTCCCAATGATAAATTATTACCAAATATGTAGATTGTGTTCAGTAGATTACAGAATTTTACTCATGTATGCTATTATTTATTAACCATTCTATTCTATAGTCTATTAATATGTATTTAAGGAGAAACTTGTTAATTTTTAAGGTTCCATTGCTTATAATATTCTTGCCCATTTCTGTACTTAATATTTTGCTACTTAAAAAGTGTTTCACTGCATTGTACTTTTCCGTACTGGTATGTATTTTGTCACATTGTGATGTACTTCACTGTACTGCATTGTACTTCTTAATACTTATATGTACTGTATTTTAGCCTATTGTTCTGTACTGTATTGTAGGTCTTCATACAGTACTTTATTGTACTAAACTGCATTGTACTTTGGTATACTATATTGTACTATCTACTGCACTGTGTGTGGTATTGTACTTTGCTGTACAATACTAAAATGTACTTTACTTTGCTGTACTGTACCTGTCTTTGTTGCTCTTAGCTATACTGTACTAATATATGTTTGCGTATTGTAAATATGTACTTCACTGTATTGTACTAATGCACTGTAGGGCTATATTATGAAATGTATTGAAAGATGGAGACAACACTAAAAATGCTTCAATGAGAAGGTTACACGTGTAAGGGAAATAACTCCAGAAAACATTCATGTGCTTGAAAACAAAACAAACGTGTAATGTTGTAAAACACCCGAACTGTAGTGAAAGTCAGTTCTCAATATAAGGGGGGTGGTTGGATGGCCGAATGATTAGCATGTGCGTGCTGTATCATAAAGCCTGTCATTGAGTCAACTGGCATGGTTTCGAATCCCCGGTTGTACATGACAAGGAGTAACGTCGCCTTTCTAACCACTGCTAAAGACCCCTCTGCGCTAGCGAATTCTTGAAATAAAATTAAACCATATGTTAGTCCTGAAATGACCTAGTTTGTGTTGAGTGGACGTTAAACCCCATTTCTCTCTCTCTCTCAATATAGGGGGGGGGGGGTCAGCATGGTACACAGCAGTGTTATAGTGAAGTCCAGTATATAGGGGATTTACCAACATAGTGTTATACTGAAGATCCAGTGTATATCTAGCTGTCATTCTTCAATTAAACTATTCAGTTTTATTCTTTAGAATATTATTACATATTTTTTTAACACTTAAAAGTGTTATTATTATATTTAATTTTCAAGACATACTACTGTATATTGTATTGCATGTGAGAATCAACTGATAAAAATTGTGATAATTGAACCTTATTTATCAATAAAACTATTCTCAACTGTTTGTACAATTGGTGGACATATAATTCCATTTTAGTTCTAAAATTACCTGGTTTGTGTCAAATTGATGTTAAACCCAATATCCCTCACTCCCTTTGTATCATTCTATTTACTTACTTTATTTATTTGGGTGCAAGTGGGTAATAGGGACCTAATCTCAAGTATGGATATTTTAATTTCCACACACTTCTTGGCTTAAAGTAGCCTGATAGGAGAAAGCCAGTATCAATTTGTAGAATTTTATCAAGGGTCAGACCCATTATTATTACGGTGAATGTTACATTTTATATTTTTCTTCAACATTTTTTTTCTGAAATACAAAAGTAGTTTTCTGCAAATTTTTATAAATATTTTTTTTTTTTAAATTTTCATTTTCCATTCAATATCAACTAAATGCATTCAACATTTTTCTCCCAATTTTTGGGGGGTATTTTGATTTAAAATCAAGGTCAAAAAATGCTTCTTTTAATTACCTCAACTAGAAAAGAGACAATTAAGAGTATGCTTAGTTTTATATTAGGTTGTGGCTTAGATTTTCTAAAAAATTTTATAAGATTTTTTTTACTGATCTCATTTTCAGTTCAATATGATAGGAGATAAATTGTTGTAATTGGATTCAATATTGAGATATAACAAAGGCCTTATAACACTAACAGTACCTTGCTGATAGTTTTGAATTCCATCCGAATGAATATTCAAATTTTTTCGATAAATTTTGTAACGTTTTCAGAGAAAACATTTTATTGTGTAAATGTTGTATATTATAAAAGAGTTGTGTGGATGTGATATTATCAATATATTAAACTAGACTGTATTCTTGATAGTAAAGATCTAAGTAGTCCAAATCGTTCGATTCCTTCCCCAGCCTCCGATAGCAAAACCAGGTTAATATTTATTAACCAACTACCAATGCGATGGTTTCTAAATTGATCTATTCCCCACTCCCACCTCACCTCTAGTTAAAAAATTTGTATCCACATTTGATAAAATTAACTATAACTAGTTAGTAAAAAAATTTGTATCCACATTTGATAATATTTAACTATAACTAGCTGAGATGGTATCTAAATTGATCTATTCAACACCCCCACCTCGCTCCCACCTCTAGTTAAAAAATTTGTATCCACATTAAATAACATTAACTATAACTAGTTAGTAAAAAAAATTATATCCACATTTGATAATATTTATAACTAGCTGAGATGGTTTCTAAATTGATCTATTCAACACCCCCACCTCGCTCCCACCTCTAGTTAAAAAATTTGTATCCACATTTGATAACATCAACTATAACTAGTAAAAAAAAATGTATCCACATTTAATAATATTTAACTATAACTAGCTGAGTGTGCTATGCTACTATATAAATAAGCATGTTTTGTGGCTATCAATGATAAAATTAACCTGTTTGTGTGTGTGTGATGGTAAATTAATATTTTCAATAAAGGTTGCCTTGCTAATTGTGAACACCAAATAAAATCAATGACCTGGATTATTGTGACTACTATCGGTGTTAATTTAGTTTTTCCAGTTGCCATATGCCTGTATTACTACTCAAATAAAGTAGTCTGAATCTGAAATAAATCCAGGTCACTGATCTTAAATAAGAAGGCTTTACTTATTAAGTTACAAGGATTATACATATTATATATCTGTGTCAAATCATTAAAGTGTGTCAAATTCCATCAACATTGAATGTGCTATTTTAATTACCATTCATTGATCCATTGATATCTAAAGATATGTTGCATGTGTGATAAAGTATACTTTTGTCTTTTTGAATCATTTAAAAGATTCAGTTGCATGTAATCTTAATTAAAGAGGCATTGACACATACCCAATTGATTTCATCAATTAAAAATTATTCTGTGTCTCCTCTACTGGCTGACAATCTAAGCACTAACTTAGAATAAGATACAGCCCCTACAAAAGAATCAAGAGTGTCTTTGAATGCTACAAGATATATTTACTCATTAGATGTTAACTCGTGATTCAACATCTTAAATAGATGGATTGATATTGCTTTAAATCCATAACATTTTATCATATGAGATGTTGTAACACTCGCAATCGTTGTTTCAGGAACATGATGGATGATTTGATAACCTTAATTTATTCACATATAAAAAGTAAAATTAAAAATTTATTTTCTAATGATCACCAGCTATCAAGAAAGCGTTATTACCTGGACAAATCAAGGATTAAAACTTTAGATAATTGTTTAAGTTTTGATATGTTATAAAATTCTATGGAAGTTATAATTTTGAAAGTTTATGAAAATGATAAATGTTTTTACTAGCTGTGATTTAACTAATGTTGGAATTATTTGACACTTTCTTATTCTTGTATTTCACCGACAATCATCCATATTTATACATGCTTTTTGTTAACACAAAAAAAAAGAGAAATGTTTCAGACAAACTTTGAAACTTCTTGGTTAAAACTGCCCATAATAAAAAAAATAATTTAAATAATTTTTAGATGCCCACATTTTGATTTGTTTCTGGTCCAGAATTGCATTATTCACATTGGTGATATTCAACAATTTCTTAACTTTTGTGATTATGAGCGATATATGAAAATTACTGCTAGAGTTATTGCCCTTTGTCACATTTTGAAATCTTCGGGACTCTCTAGCTGTTGTTATCAGTGCACATGCAAAAATAATCAGAAGTGATATTTTGGCGGGGGTTTTTTTGTGTCAACAAAACTTTAATATATTTGTATATTCCAGTAATTAACAAATAAAGATGCATGTTGTATATTTGTACATTATGTTAAGCCAATGAAGCAAGGAGTTGTATATTTTAAATATATTGGCCAATGAGACGTATTGTATAATTTGTGTATTGACTATATTGACCAATGAAAGGAAGGAATATATATTTGTGTATTTTATATATTGTGTGACGTTGGTCATCCCCCCACCCCACCACCGATATGTAGATTAACACTGACCTGTATTGTCCATATTTTTAAAAAAAAAAAATTCAAGTCCGATGTGCCATTTGAAGCAATATGAATCCCTTGCAAACTGTCATAATGTCAAAGATGAATCTCTACTAGGAATATCAGTCCAATAATGGTTCAATTCCATTCAGTATTCACAAAGATATGTGAATTTCATAGATCTGTTCTTCTCGCTATGCAATAAGCCCGCCGTCATTTTGTCGCCCATGAATATTTAATGAAAGGTCTGTTTTAAATCTAATCGAATACAAGCCAGGACATTATTTAACATTTTGTTTCTTTATTAAATGTAAAATAATTTATCTGAATACATATTAACGTGGATGAAGCCGTGATGAACTTGGCCACAAATGCGTATGCATGGCGCATCGTAATTTAATTAACATCTGGATGGATATCGAACGCCCTTGCAATACAGCTAATACGAAGCAAAGACAAATTCTAAAGCCCAACCCAGACCTCTCGTATTTTGTACATCATCATCAGAAAAACGGAAAACTGTTTCATGCCGAAATATCTTGATGTAACAGATGAGAATTATTACTGCTGGATAGTTCCTGAAACCATAGCCTAAAACAATGCCCCCACCACCATAACCACAGATCCCTGACCCTGCTATTTAATCAACAGAAACCGGGTCGATATTTCTCATCAAAGATATACATAAATATTATTCTTAAAGATACATTATGCAAGAGTTAGTTAAACAGTTCACAGTTCTCGCTATTGTAGGTTAAACATACGCAATGAAAAATGCATATATTGATATTTTCAGTCAAATGAATTTATTGTGGGCGAAGTTATGGATGTTTGTAGTTTTGATAGAATAGCGTAGTCTCGATTTTTATTTATTGCTACCATTGTTACGATAATAAACAAAGTCTCGATTATTAAATTATCAATGGCGATCCTGTTACAATCTATTAAAAAAAAACACGACCAAACAATGGTCTACCGAGTTGATTGTGGACTTGCCATGTGAATAAATTTGAAGCCAAAATAAAGATCTGCAATAGCCAGATTTAGTTCTTACATAATGTATCTACAACCGGAACGATATTTGAATTGTGCGGGATTTGAAGTCAGTTCATGTCACACATGAAGATTGTTTATTTCCCACGATAAAAGCATCACCAGTCAATCAATCGAGGATTTTACAGCAAATCCAAATCTATAATTCTGTTTTTTCCCTACAGATACATGAATCTACGAATTAACCTGTATCGTGTTGTTAATTCTTTTAATTCAATGTTGCGGTCATTCACAAGTTAACTATAGAGCATACTTTTAATGTCACAGTTAAAGACGCCACGGTTGTTTTATTCAGCGTTCCACAACCTTCCCGCCAAAATGAGCACTTTTGTGCGGACTATACAAGTTCATTGGATCCAGAGGGTCGAATTTATGGAAGCTATCTTTAGACCGAGGTACCCGAGAATAATAATATTGGTCACGAATTTTACCGTACTAAATAACCAGAAATGCCTAATGGCTTCCACCTTGAATATATACATTTTCCCAGGGTTGCATCAAGATTCTGAATCTACATATATACCATCCGTCAAAAAACTTTTTTTTTATCGACACTCTATACCTCTAGGCCATCCCAATCCCTCTTAATGCTTACGTCTCGCACAAAATCTTAAAACGGTTATATGTCCGCGATGGAATGGAAGAGATGTTCCAATTTTTGAATGCTATAAAACTTAAAACAACCTCATTACCACTGTATAGTCTGAAGAACACGGCAAATCAACCCACCAGGATACGAAAAGCTCTTTAAATAAAAACGGAAACAAAAGAAACATATAATGTAAATATTTATATATTTTATAAAAAAATAAATGGCACATAGGTTCTTTTCGTTATTGTATTTGTATGTATTCATAAGAAACATTATCTAAATACGTCTCTTCAAATATGTAATATGAATAATAAACATAAAATATAAAACTTATAATCATTGAGTGGCATTTAGTGATTGAGCACATTAAAAAACACAACACAATTTATATGGAAAAACAATCACTGGTTTATACACATATAGCACGACGTTTCGACAAGTATTCTCTTATCGTTATCAAGTTCAAATGATTTGTGTGTACTTGAAAACGATAAGAGAATACCTGTCGAAACGTCGCGCTATATGTGTATAATCCAGTGATTGTTTTTCCATATAAATTGTGTTGTGTTTTTTAATATAAAACTTGATGGTAAAAGTAAAATAAAGTTTAGTTTATAAAATGTAGACTTTTTTGTAATAACTTGGCATTAGTTGGATTCCGATGATCTATAATCTAGTCTTTATAACATGGTTTTAGGTTGGCGACTGCAGAGAAAGGATGAAAATCTGGAATGTTTCTTTACTGTTTCATTAACTTTATTTTCTGAAATATAATTTTTATTTTACACATAAACAAATGTACATAATATGCCATAATCGTAGTCCTAATTTTTGTTTTTATACCTTAAGGATGTGTTATAATACAGGGTTGTTTCCGTCGAAGTTAAACAGCTGAGAAAATAAATTTTCGGATGTATTCAAAAAGAGGGTAAGTATATTAAAGATGCATTATGTAAGAGCTAATTATGCTTATTGTGGGTCTTTACTTTTGCTTAGAACGTCCGCGAGATTAAAAAAAATAACGATAAAATGGATAATCGAGACTAAGTTTCGTTTGTCCAGTACCGTTGCTAAGATAATAAACAACCAACGCAATATCTTCCAACACTCACAACTTCGCTTAAAATAAAGTAATTTGAATGACATTTTCAATATATCTTCAACAGTCAGCTCTTCATTTAATTCTTACATAATATATCTTTCATTACTACGACAGGTGTGATTATTTAAAACTAACCTTTTTTAGAACTTGTCTTTTCGTTAGGTTTTCTTATGATTCTACGCCATAATTTCTGCAATAAAATAAAAACCGTTTTATTTTTAATGTCTTTACGACAATAGCGTTAATAGATATATTGTTTATTTTAAATCAGTATTTACACCGTTCTTTAAAGGGACAGCAAGCCGTATTACTAGTTTAAAGATTGTTAGTAGTAATCTCACCCGTTTATGAAAAGATAAATTGTGATTAATGCCCCCTAGAAATAACCTCTCACAGACAACTGTGCAAGCGTCGATAGATATAGATGTAAATTTTAAATGGCCACAATTTGTGATCGATCTGAATACTATTTGGACCAGAATGCGGGTTTGTTTTGTTGGTTTTTATTTAAAATAAAAAAGAGAGTACTTTTGATTGTTTATTTGCTGAATTTTATCGATAACTTTCATTCTGCCATGTTGGGCAGTTTCTTGTAAAACTAATACGGATAAAATTAATCGATAACTTGCTAATAGTGTTGATAATCTTAAATTATTACACAATCTTTAAACTTACAGTTAAAAAATTCGGTCTTCCTTTGTCTGTTTTCATTTCTTTTTTTCCAGCATCTTTCAGTTCTTCTGCTGTTTCGTCTACTAATTCTCCATCTGTAGAACTGGATGTTTTTACATCAGCATCTGTTCTGGTATCATAGGAACAACGTCTGTTCAATCTACCATACTGTCCTATGAGATATTTTGTCAGTAGTTGCTGTTTTAATTGATCTGTTTCTGGCTTATCACATACGGCGGTCTTGATATGTTTGCCGATGACCCCATCTACTTCGTTAGCTTTTGAAATTAAAGTTGTGGCAGCACTCCAATGACTGAGAATACCATTTTCGTCAGCTTTGGGTCCAACAAGTGGTTTCTTATGATTTCTGTCGAAGTTTCCATAATCAGTCCAAGTTTTCAAATTATCAGGACGAGTGGTTCTGAAAATAGTGACGTTGCTTCCGGCTACTGCGGCCTTGCTGTTTCCAGCAACTTCTTCGGCATCTCCACCACCGACCCGACTTACCATCTGCGTAACAACTGAGTTCCTGTAAATAAGGTTCTTTAAGATGGCGTTTGTTTCGCTGATACTGCGGTATCTAGTAACAACATTTCCCATGTTCTTGGAATACCAAGGCGACATCCTGACATTCAGGATGTTGGAGGAGTCTAAATTATCCCTAATAAATCTCAGTCGATGGAAATAATTGGGATAAAATCCTGAAAACATAAAAAATAATTAAGTCTTAATTTAAAGAGAAATAAATAACAGATATGTCGTTTTGAAATATCACATGGTCAAGACACACCAATTTATAAGGATTTATTTTAATAATCAAAGCTGGGGTTTTTTTTCTATAAGAAAATGTTTTTGTTTTAAAGAAGCCAACAAACCTTTTGGTTGATTTTTTTCTCCATTATTTTCTACACCATGATGTCCTTGTAACATTTTATCCGCCATTTTTCTGTAATATAATATAATTATTCTTACACGTTCATCATAATTGTAATATTTTTCATAATGAATTCATTTTATAATTTTTTTTCCTTTTTAAAAGCTTTTTCATTAAGAATTTTGACAACGACGTCATTCTTTTGTTTTTGATAGGAGCGCACGTCCATAATATAAACAATTTTTAAAAACAATTAAAAATGTTTGATTTATTTCCAATTTAACCCTAGTTCATTTAATATTTAACACAGTTAGATTGAATTTTAATCTTACTGAAATTAATCAGAATATTTAGCGAATATTTCGCGTTTGTCCTAATGTTGTGGGCGTAGCGTAGTGAATGGTTGGTGTTTGATATTGTATCGAGGTATCGGCTTAATAAACAATGCGAAAAATCTGAAAATTTTGAAAGTATTTATAATATGAAAGACTTACCTATGAAGACAATTTATAGTAAAATCTTCTAAATCTTTAAGATGTTAAGAAGGTTTTAATCTCAGAAAAATCGACGTGCGGCTTTCCAGTAGCGATATCCACAGGAAATATAATTCTTATGACGTCATCCAATTGTATTACGTTGAA